TTTCTGTTTATTGCTAATAAAAATGCAAATATTTGTACTTTAATAATATACAATATGTAAAATATAAAATGTTCATACACATACTTAGTTTATTCTTTATGTGAAACCTTCAGTAGCTCCAATTCAATAGACTAACGATTTGGACGCAACCAAAAGTCATGGCCGGAAGCTGATTGTTTTTTATTCTAGCTGTCCTAGACATTCGACCCTATATAACAGGCTCAGGTATAGAGTACTTCTCAAGGAGGTGAAGGTTGCCCACCTTATAAGGTTCTACCGCGTTAGGGCAAATCCCATAATACCCGTTTGGGTTCCCCTACTATATAAAAAATGGATGCGTGTAACTTATGTACGCGCGTGAGAAGTTATACTTCTTTAGCATCATTAAAAATATTTTTTAATTGTTTGCAAATAATTAATGATTACAATAAAATAATAAAAGGACTGGAAAAGGATAGTTAACACAGTCAATTAAGATCAGTTTTAATTTGAAAAATTAAATAAATATTCAAAATATTCAATTAAAATCACTACTGAATTTAAGTTATTAGTCCATATGTAATTAGCACTTGTAAGTAACTAAAACACGTTGTGTCTATATAGAAACTAGAAACATGTGGATAAATATTATAAATATGAAAACAGTGATCAGAGGCGACGAGCGTGCCAACATTGTTCTTGACAACGCGATCGATCATCTTATGGAGCTCCGTGGATCGTTCAAAGTACCTTTCGAACAGATGTCTAATAATGGCGGATTATTAACCACTAAGTGGTTAATAATCCACCATTATTAGACACTAACATTCATAACGCGCCCGCGGCCAACTTCATGGTGTTACTATTGTGTTACAGTGATGCGCGCGCATCTCGAAATTTCACTCACATGATTTTTTCATAACGCGCCGGCGGCCAACTTCATGCTGTTACTTTTGGGTTACAGTGATGCGCGCGCATCTAAAAATTTCACTCTCATCATTTTTTCATAACGCGCCTAAAGAAGTATAACTTCAATAATTAGTAATAGTTTATTTTTTACACAAAAGATATTGATTACGTAGCTTACTATACTATCACATAGGTAGGACACAGTTACGACATGTTATTATAGCTGCTGGTACATAAAAAATAATACTCTGTGCTTTAAGTACCAGCCTCTTTTCAAATTCATCATGATGTGATGAGTTAAAATCATATTGATTTTATCTCAAACATTTTGACAATCATTTATTTAGGCATATATATATATATATATATATATATATATATATATATACATGTGTGTGTATCTTTTTTCTGTTGTCTATGTAAATAGAAGAACATAATTTAAAAGTCATTTATGCGTCGATTGGTTTGAGAATTTCCTCTGTTTCTTAAAAACTAAATTTTAAGAGCCAATCTGTAACCATTGTTTTACACGCATGTTTACTTTTGTGTAGCATGTTCAATTAACTATTATTTTATTATATAAGAAGCATCCAAAAAAACAATAAAATTTACGACCAAAAGATAATCGGAATGTTTTAGTAAGTGGAATTATAAGTTTTCGTCTAGATTGGTTACTTATAACAAGGCTGTAGAGATTCACATCACAGTGCCGTTTAGGCGCTTTGCAGACGACGGGGCGGCGCGGGCTTTTTGTCCGCGAAGCAATAAAAACCGCGTCTGCCCGTCGATGTCTGCGGCTGCCCTCTCCGCGTACACAAAGCACACGACGGGCAGAGGCAGTCAGTTCAGGACGTTCGTTCTAGTGAATAGTCCATCACTAAAAAGCGCGTGGCGCGGAGTGAGCTAGCCGCCTCCCGCCGCCGTCTGCGTTACTGCATATAAACTGGTTTGTATGATCCACGGCGGGCAGCCGCGGACATGCCGCGCCACCACTGCCCGCCGGGCATCCAAGGCGCGGTTTTTTTGCCCTCTGTGTGCGTTTGTAGTATAGGATTCACTTTGTGCTATCGTTCGCTGCGAAATTGACCGGCCCGCTCCGCCCCGCCGTCTGCAAAGCGCCTTAAGAATGATTTGCATGGTAAACAATTGTCGTACTGTCAGAACTTTGCAATAATCATAAAGGTCCTTCGTAGGAAAATAATTATAACACTGTTCTGTTTCGAACCCCATTATCTTTGTTTTCTTCGCGTTCAATAATAAGTCATTCCCCATAACATCTTTCGTTTGATCGGACTAGACCATATTGATTCGATTACAATTCCAGATCCATAGACCTCAACCTCTGGAGAAAGCTCTCTGGTAATTATATTAAAAATTGTGCCTTAATACACAGCCATGCTGAACACCAAAATAAACATACATTAAGGGCAATAGGCTTAGATTAAAACAAAAAGGGAAGATACGGTACGCTCATACTAGCATCAAATAAAATATGATCCGACTCAACTACATAAGCAACTCTCACACACACGTCTGTATATAAACATTCAATCGAGCGAGCGAGACAGAACTGTACGCTTCAACGCAGAGCGAGCGAAACTGCAAGGCCGCTTCCGAGTCCGCACGGCTGAGCTGTATTGTTGTCCTTTTCTTGATAACAAAATGGCGATTATATAAATAACATTCACGAAAAAACCGTGATTTTTGTGAAAAAAATGTTATTACAATTTGACGATTGAAAAAATGTTACCGAGGTATTTGTAATTTGATTTTGAACTATTTGTGTTCTTTATAAAAGCATCGAAGGCGTTGTTTGGTCTTTATAACACAGAATATACGCAATATTGTTATGTATGTCTATATTGAGTGCACATGCAGCGTGTTTGAATGCCCAATTGTCACTAAAGCGAATTGTGGTCATGCACCACAATTTAAAGCGCTTATTCCACCTGTCTAAATTCAGACGTTCTAAATCATTCAGTCACTAATTCAGTCAAGTAAAATAGCATTTGGGAAGTTAGAAGAAGAAGAAGAAGTTAGTATCGGAAGAAGTGTGGCTTCTGACTGACTAAATCATTTAGTATCCTAATTAGAACGCAATTCAGGAAGGTCTAATAGCGTTTAGATGCTTCAGTCGCACCGCAGGTGTCACTGCGTGAGGACGTGTAGTGTCTACGATTACGAATTACGCGAGGGTGCGATGTCGGCGGTAAATGAAAAAGGAGTTATGAGTAACATAATCGAATTGTATAAACATATGCCGTATCTTTTGAACAAAAGCGATAATAATAACATTAACAATATAAATATTCTTTCACCCACGTTTTTCGTTTTCTACTTAATTTTATTTTTATTGAGCTAACGGCCAGGCATACGAAAAGACAATTTCTTTATTGCTTTGGCAGGACTGGAGCCATTACGAAAAAGTCCGACTGAATTCGCCGCGCGCTTGTAACTGACTGAATCAGTAACTAAATTAGTCAAGTGTAATCAGCAGCTTCTAATAAGCCTTCTTTTTAGGATTCTAACTAGGACGTCTGAATTAAGTCAGGTGGAATAAGCGCTTAAGCGGATCACTTTGAGTCTCGAGTGCCTTCCCTTTTTGTTTTAATCTAAGGCTATAGGCTATTATAAGATTAACCCCCGCGAATGCTGTTTAAGAATATGATCTTCACAAGTAGACTGCAAAGCACACGGCATATCTTGGCAATAGCTTCAGCGAATCCTCTTGCTAAACTCTGTCGAAGCAATCAGTACAGTTTAACTTTAATACGCATTAAAAGGAGGGGTTCAAACCTTTATTAAGTGACTCTCAGGCACTGTTTATCATTCCTCTATCTCCACGCGATAAACCCGGCACTCTCATGGTTAATTTATGTGTTGCTAAGAATTTTCTTCCAATGATCTTTAGCCGTAGACCGTTCGTTTAGCGCCAGCGCCAGGTTTCAGTGATGTTGCCTATGAGAAAAAATCTCTGAATCTGATATCTGTATCTTATGCAACACTAGCTGTGCCCCGCGGTGTTTCTTGCGGTTTATTAGGTATATTTTTCCGCAGTAAAACCTAGCCTATGTGTTAATCCAGGGTGTCAGCTAACTCCATACCAAATTTTATTAAACTCGCTCCATCCGTTTAGACGTGAAGAAGTAACAAACATACACACTCACACACTCACAAACTTTCGCATTTATAATATTAGTGTGATAGTGTGATTCTATCAGGTTTAATCCCTCCGTTGAACTATTTCCTCATATTATCATCATCAGCATATCAAAGTTCCCACTGCTGTGCAGGCCTTTCCTATGGATGGAATAGGGTAATTGGGACCATGACCACACCACGCAGACCCAGTGCGGATTGGTCGGTGACGTCCCTTACGAATCACGGAGGAGCTCGAGATAATAAATTTTTGTTCACCCATCCAATGACCGACCATTGCGTAAGTTACTTTACCTTCACGATCGCAGGCTAACGCGCTATCCATCTACGCTATCGAGCTTCTCAATCTTTAGTGTCGCCTCACACGGGCCACCGACCACAACCACAAAACGCCGCCACCGGCATATTTCTTGTAGTTTTCATACATTTTATATGGACTCGCCACACACGGTACGCCGGTGGCCGCCACACGCTACAAATCGTCGTTGCTCGCTTCTTGTGGCCCGCACCGGCCACTTAATGCGCCGATACAAAACGCCACCACACGTCACTCGCGCGATGCCCCACCCCTCTCTCCCTTACCTTGGTCGGCCGCTGTCGCGCGCTTCAGCCACTTTAGTAGCTGCTTCTATGCGGTTGTGGCTGTAGTTTGTGGCCCGTGTGCAGCGACACTTATCGCTGTTACAAGCTGCAATCGAAGAGGAGAATGGAGAAATAAGAAATATGTAGAAGAATATGCCACGCACGCACACACACAAACACACGCACGCGCACACACATACACACGCACGCACACACACATACACCGGCTACATGAACATTATTAAATATTGTTTAATTAGAAAATAAAAATAAACTACTTATGGAAGAGCGGCGTCCCCTGACACAGGCTTTTTAGCTTAACAGAGGACCCCGATCACTGAAAAAATTTTTTGTACAAAAATGGTTAAGAAGAAATAAAGATTTATTTATTTATTATATAATTAATGTTTCAGTGTTGAGACGATGGCTCGTGGCGTCGTTTGGTGGTGCGTGATGGCTGCGTGCGCGTGGCGCGCGGCGGGGGAGTGGTACGACACCTTCACCGGCAACCAGATCACGGAGGCCAGGGTGGCGGCGCTGCGGCTCAACAACCTCATACCGTGAGCTTGATAGCTGATATATTTACATACTAATATATACATAGTGTGATCGGGTGAGGCGAACGGGAGTTGAGTGGGGAATATAAATTCAAATTCAAACTCATTTATTCAGTCTAGGCTGTTACAAGCTCTTGTGAAAGTCAAACGCTACGCCATCGGTTCGTAAATCTACGGCGGGAGACCTTGTACTGAGAAGAACCGGCAAGAAACACAGCAAGGGCTATTTTTTTCTCCCTGTTTTGTTTCATACAGTGTCGTCAATTGAAAGATGACATAAAAAATTAATGGAAGGTGACTTCAGAAGTATGTCTGAAGTCATTTTTCAACTTGACGACTCTGTATATATCAATACAGGGAGAAAAAAGCAGCCCTTGCTGAGTTTCTTGCCGGTTCTTCTCAGTACAAGGTCTCCCGCCGTAGTTTTGCGAACCGATGGCGTAGCTTCTTGACTTTCACAAGTGCTTGTAACAGCCTAGACTGAATAAATGACTTTTCATTTCATTTCAATTGAATACATGTGTTGATGTCAACTTCCATCACATTAATATTATTAATTAACAAAAGTTAAGTATAGCTAGGTACTATTTTTAAATTTAGAAGTGGCGATTAAACAATTTTCAACCAAATTAGCAAAGTAAAACGACAGCCTATTATGTTAAGCCCAAGGTGACTTATCATTTATGAAATCTTTTACAGTATAGTAACCTTTCTTAAGGAGACATGTTTTTATACACACTTTAAACTTATTAAACAAAAGAAAGCAGTGCGCGCGCACATTTTCTTCCTCTCTTTCTCTTATAGCTTGTAAATGAAATATGTATATGTACATACATGTCTGTTTTGTACACACCCACACATATATATATACAGATGGAGCTAAAGAAGTTTCACTTCAGTCGTGTGGTCATAAGCACACTCTTTTTTCGTATGGCGCGCTGAACACGTTGCCTCTAGGTGAGCCTTGATCCGGCAACCGTAGCGTAGGGCCAATGTTTAGTGTTCCAAAGGAGGTAGGTGTAACCAACTAAAGGAATCATTTTTTTTTGAGTGTGTATGCTGTTGGTCGCAGATGACCTTTACAGCGTCACCGGGTTTGGGGACGACGTGATCCTAAGGCGACCTCAAGCCGAGAATTGGCGAGTGCCTCTAGAGGTATTCCAGGCGGATGGCGTTTTCCCACGGGGGGAGTCTCCTCTCCGTCTGGAGCCTCTACCCCACGAGCACCTGAGGGGGTCGGCTCAACTAGAGACTCGGACCTCGGCTCTAGTTAGCCGTTGTCATGGGGTAAAGGAATCAAACACCTGTTCCAATTTTAAATAGAGAGAATGCGTTTATTGCTTTTACATTAAATACATATATTTCCAACAAAACAAAAGGGTAGCGTGTTTCAATGAAGTATTCCTGCCATCTATCGTACAAAAAGTTAAGTAATTCTAAACAAGTAGTCTGTTTAAGTCCACTTACCAAGATAGTTGATGTGGTAGGCACAGGTGACGCTTCTGAAGCACAGCGTTAGTGATTTGTCGTTTCATCCTCAGACTGTGCGCCGTAGAAGTGAAGAACTGTTCTTTGGATGAGCCCCGTCGCTTCGACTACAGCTGCAACAACGTACACTACCCCTCTAGGGGGACTGTCATGACCCCCTTCCACCGCCTGCTGCCCCCAGACTTCCCCATGGACGGTGGACTACGAACCACAAAGGTAATATTATACCTATTCATTTCAGGGGTGAAGAAGCTTTTCAAAGCTAAGCTTTTATAGGCTTCAGCATGTCTCTTCTTAGTCGGGCACTCTTGTCAGAGTGGTCGTGGTTGCACTGATGAGGTACATGGTGGGGTGTTCTTTGGGTCGCTATCAATTCGAGGGTAGCTCTCCTGGCGATGTGCTTCCATTTCTGACGGTTCGAAGCGTCGCGAGTACACTGGACCATGGTAGACTCAGTAGCCTTTGTGATGGCGTCTATCCAGCGGGTTGGTGATCGACCGCGTGCTCTCTTGCCTTCCACCTGGCCTTGAACCACCAGCCTTTCCATCGAATTCTCATTTCTAGAGATGTGACCAAAGAACTTCAGTATTCGTAGTTGCACAGTTGACGAGAGTCTGTCTTTAACACGAAGCTCTTTGAGGATGGATATATTGGTACGAAATGCCGTCCACGGGATCTTTAGGAGACGTCTCCAGCACCACCTCTCCAATGCATCGATTTTACGGCGATCCTGCAGTCTCAAAGACCAAGTTTCGGCTCCATAAAGAAAGATTGGAAACACAAGGCATTTCATCAGCTTCAGCATGTGGCCAGATTTATTTTTTGGCAAGTCTTGATTTTGGAACTCTTTAAGTAAAAAAAAAGCGGCACATCGTAAAAAAACGTATGTATTAATCAGAAGTTTTTAAAATAGTTTATGAACGAGCGGACGTTGTCGCGACAGGACGGGCAAATTATGGAGGCATGTTTCTCCGAGTGATTGCCTGCAGAGGATATATGCCGACCCACCGGACGGAAGGGCCCCCGCACTCCCCCGGAAGTGGCCGCCGGGACCCCACGCCCCGGTCACCAACCGGCACGACGGTCCACCCCGAGATTATGCGTGACATAATAGGGCAGCCTAAGGTGATGGCAACAACAGACCTCTCACAAAATCGCATATGGCAATCTCATCCCAGAGGGCAAACCACTTGAGCAAGTGCAGCAATACATATATTTAGAACAAGTCATCAAGCTCGGTAGGGATACGCTGCAAGCTAAGATTGACAGAAGAATACAGATGGGATGGGCAGACTTTGGGAAGCTGCAATGTGTTTTTAAGACCAAGTTACCCCAGTCATTGAAAACCAAGGTCTTCAATCAGTGTGTTCTCCCTGTTATGACGTACGTTTGTGAGACATGGACCCTAACTGCGGGAATCATACGTAAATTACAAGTCTCCCAGAGAAGTATGGAACGGCGTATGGTCGGCATCAGCCTGCGTGACAGAATAAGGAACACGATCATTAGAAGCAAAACTCGAGTGACTGATATCGGATACCGGGTCGCAAAGCTAAAATGGTCGTGGGCCGGGCATCTGTGCCACCGAAATGATGGTAGATGGAGCAAAAGCGTTCTGCAGTGGAGACCCCGTGAGGCCAAACGGAGCGTGGGGAGACCTCCAGCCAGATGGTCCGATGACATCCGTGACTCCGCAGGACATCTATGGCACCAACGGGCTTCAGACCGTGCCAGGTGGAGACATATTGGAGAGGCATATGCCCAACGGTGCGCAAATTAATGCTGTGAAGTAAGTAAGTAGTAAGTAATAGGGCAGCCAGGGTTAGGAACGCTCGGGCCACTGTACTGTGCCACGGGCGGCCAGCGGGACAACCGTTTCTACGGGTCTCCCTGACCGGCGGGTCGATGCAGTCCTCCCGGCATCGATTCGACGAATGCCTCCCCTGGACCGAATCTGTCACGGCAACCCCCACTCGAGCTCTGGTTGTACGCTGGCTGACCCTGAAACGCGCGAGAAACACTTCACGGGATTTTCACCATGCGCACGGTGATAACAAACCAGGCGGGTGTTGAGCACCCTACCACCAGAAGAGCGGATGGAAGCTCCGATATCTCTTAGTCGCTTCTTACGACACCCATAGGAAGAGAGGGGCGGTGAGTAGTATTCTTTCTCCGTCACCGCACGGATAAGATTTGGTAATAACGGACCCAGTACGGATTGGTGGATGATAACGGACCCAGCGCGGATTGGTGGGTGTTAATGGTCCCAGTGCGGATTGGAGGGTGATAACAGACCCTTCTACCTTCGTAAAGCCAAACCAAATTCTTGACTGAAACATCATTTCCCTCATAATCTCTCGATGGCGCAGGTGGTTAGCGCATTGGGCATGCCAACGTGAAAGTTAAACAACTTTCGAAATGGTCGGTCATTAGATTTGTGACCAGAAACATATTATCTCTCACTCCTCCGTGCTTCGGAAGGCACGTAAAGCCGTTGATCCCGGCTGCATCTGTAGTCGTTAGCACCCACCAATTGCACTGGGCCTTGGTGGTGACTTTTGCTTAAATTCTATGAGTATCATTGCTTTGCAGGCTGGTAGACCACTGCCTAACGCGAGAGCGCTCCGCGTAGCCCTGGTACCAGATGGAAGAATACCGAACAAGCAGTATTCACAGCTACTGACAAACTTTCTTGTGGCTATTACAGGTAAGTTATACGAGCGAGTATCACAATATTTTAATAAGCATCCAATAATTTTGTCCTCACTGCTTGAATGCAGTCATCTCAATGGGTAAAAACACAATTAAACAGGTAGAACGGGACATAATTCACCATGCGGCCTAGTCTGAATTGGTGGCTGCTAACAGCTGCAGACTCAGCCTGGATCAAATGCTTCCCGCATCAGCTATGTTCCGAAATGAATTCGGCTTACAACAGATGATGTAAAATGCTTAGGTGCAAGTAAAAGAAAGATCCTCTGTGTTCCATCAATCTTTTTTTCTTAAATAGTATGCTAATTAAAAACAGGTAAATTTGCGAAATTCTCCAACAGATTCTAAGACATGTTAGAATAAATAATTATTAAAATACTATAGAGAACCAGCAGAGCCATCTATTAGAGGACGGTGGTACTAACCATAACACAGTCCTCTCGCCCACAGACAACGCCCGTAGACTGCCCCTACGGCTAAATAGAGGCGTAAGGCCGGCACGCTATAGCGATAATTATGATTAAAATAGGATAGTTTGGTATCCGTTTCCGGGACGCCACACTTTTTGGCTTTGTCAAGCACTCTGGCGCGTCTAATTTATATTTAACTAAGCAGATATTGTTCTTATGCTACGAAACCTTTTACCTATTTAATTGTGTTTATGTGTTTGCATTCATTAAATTCAGTGTCATTGAACTGTTTGCCGTCTTATTTACTAAACTGGCGCCCAACGTGGGGCCCGAACCCACGACCCTGAGATTAAGAGTCTCATGCTCTACCGACTGAGCTAGCCGGATTACATACTTTTAAAAAACAAAACAAACAAAAAAACTGCCCTTTAAAATTTAACATCGTCGCACTAAAATCTGACCCTCAATTCGTGAAATTTCGCCTTGAAAAGTTTCACTTCAAAAGGATGAAGTAGATGATGTGAACTTAATGTGTCATCAATTGTTTTTAGGCGACACTTCCACCGTTCATGACACGGGAAACTACATTGGCTGGACGGTGACGTGCTGCATGCCAGGTGGAGAGCAGGACCCCCGCTGCATGCCCATCAGGGTCCCTGATGACGACGTGCATCTAAGGAGGAGCAACGTTCGCTGTCTGAATCTCACACGTTCTATCACCTACCAGAGGCTGGGCTGCATCCCTGACACAATACCACCGGAGAGGGTACGGAACGACACTTAAGTTCTATGATTAAGATTAGAGGAATACATCTTAATTCACTTCTCTGAACCAAACTCTGAAGATAATGCTGACATAATTGCGAGCAGAAGATGGTACGTGCATATATACAAAAATGGTCACATCGGGGTCACCAGTTTAATTCGTATATCGACTAGAATTCTACATACTACTCTTTCAGATTATGTTCATTAATTAATGCTAGGCTCATCACGTTCCAAATATATTAACTGGTTAAAGAAAAAAAATCTAAAATAAAAATGACTGTAGGACTGGTCATGGCAAAGCACTTTATAATTCCTATAGATTTTATCCTTTAGGTATTAAATATTTCGCAAAAAGCTAAATGTGAGAATTTTAAGAAATTGTAGCCACTTCATATGAGGAACTTTATAAAATGCTTTATTGTGGTCCAGTTGCAGGAAATCTCATATACCAATTATTTTATACATTTATTAAGGTATTTGACAGGTTAGCCTAGCGACGCCCATGCTAGATCTATCGGTGGTGTACGGGACCGAGGAATCGAAAATGACGTCTACGAGGGAGCGATGGGGCGGAAGACTCACCGCCGAGAAGTTAAAGGGGAAGGATTGGCCTCCGGGGAATGGCATTGGCTGTTTACAGAACAATCTAAATGAGACCAGGTGCCATAACTCTGGTAAGTGGGCTGCTTAGAAAATAAAGAGCTAAGGATAAAAGTAAAAATATACGTTGATCTGCATCTGTACCCAGAGTAGCTGCAGTCCTTGGATTACGTGAATTTGTGTAACATCCGCCTTCCGAGCCTAAAACGCAGAAAATTTATTTAGTATTAGTATTATTAGTTTTATTTTTCGTATGAGATCCTCAATCAATTAATTACATTTAGAGGTTGGCTTGACATATTATGAGGCGTTTCCCAGGGATCTTATTTAAGTCTCTTTTTTATTTGTAATTCTTTTAAATAATAATCTGATAGTCATGTTACAATGCCTATCAGAGGCATGTTACAATTGTAGTTATATTTATTACTCATGTTTTTAACAGCTGAACTGATCGTAAACTCCCTGGTTACTGGCAACATGGCCTTTCTTTGGTTCTTCCGGCAGCACAACTATTTGGCTGAGAAGCTCGGCAAAATAAACCCCTGCTGGGACGACGACAAGCTCTTCGCTGTGGCCAGGGACATCAACATCGCCATATTCCAACAGATTTTGTACTACGACCTTATGCCAAACGTCGTTGGTAATTATCGTTAACTCTATACGAATAACATTAAATAATTTATTCAGTCAACTAACTATTCAACTAAGAAAAATTATGAACTACTAAGATGAATATATAAATGAATATGAATACACCCATAATTTTATTATAAAAGCTAAAGTGTGGCTTTCTGTCTGTTGCCTCTTCACGCATATTTCTATAGTTTGAGTCTCGGGAAAGGACAGACCAGGCATTCCACTGATGGTAAGTGGTCACTGCTGCTCATGGACACATGCAGTACCAAGGGTACTTACCGCTCAGGTGTTGCCAGCTCTCAAGGAATAGATTTCCCCAACTTTTTATAGACCGTCATATTATAGTTAAGAGGGAGAACCGCTGATGGGAGGGATTTTTGATTCGATTTAAATAATTTTAAATTGAACACAGGATTTATAAAAAGTTCGAATTAATAAAATGCTAAGCAAATTCTATGCACTGACCATTATGCTACCGCGGCCCTGATGGCCGTGTTAAATCTTTCTATAGCCTTTCTTATGCTACAAGGCAGCGCCGTCTCTTGCCGTAGGTAACCCACAATGTGAAATGAATACCGTTACAAGTATTGAAACATTTGTAAGGAGAAATAGCAATTATAGTTATATTTCTTATTTTAAAAAAAATATATAGCGGTAGCATAATGGTTAGTGTATTCGCCCGGATAGCGAAGGAAGGTTCGAGTCCCGTCTGCTGCCTGGTCGGCGTGAATTTTTTTCGTAAATTTTTCTTTAGATATAAACATCTACCAGTTACCTGTTTATAAAATAAGAAATATAATTTTAATTGCTTGTATTAGTTCTATTTCATTGATATATCCTGTTACTGAATTACACTTAATCTAAATTAATAATATTTAAATAATTTGTTTTTATAAATAGCGCGTAAATGACCCAAATGACTTAAAATAAAAATATAAATATTGTTACGTGTCACGATGGGGTTCGAAATTATATTCCAGTTCACGCTTGACCTAATTTTATATACCACACAGTTAACACACACTGTTAATCATAAAACACTCGCTAAACACTGTACTTCACTATACGTGCCTTTAAACAATCGCACTAGAACACTTTACATGCACTTTGATCGCCTGCGAAATCGCTGTTTAAAATCAATTGTCCACTGTATGGCGCCGAAACGCACTTATATCGACGCATTCTACAAAAGTCCCGTCAAATTGATAGTTAACTAGCTATATAACTAAACGTTTTGTTCTTAATTCTTTAATGATACAATATTGAAACAACGGTACCCTTTTAAAAAAGATGACTAGTTTCATTAACACATAATACGGATACTAATAAACATATTACATTATAAAATCAAGAACGCTTTCGTCTCTGCTTCTCACGCATGCTGAATCGAAACCTCTGGCGTAGAACGTATCGAGGAAGGAGATATTTATCTCTCTTAAAATGAACACTTTTAAAAAAATTCCACGCGGACCAGTTTTTTCTAGTTATATTTTCTTTAGATTTAAAGATTTTACATGCTTTAAAATAATAAAAATTATGAACACTTTTGTCAGCATTTGACACTATAGGCGGTTACAATATTAGAAAATACAAAGTGGCTCAATATCAACCCTTGTGGAACCCCCAGATTACAATTTCCTGGTGAAAAACAACGTAATATTTTCCGATCACGAGCACGTGGATGACTACGACCTAAGTCTAGAGCCCCTGGTAAGCCTGGAGTATACCGTCATGGCCAGGTGGTTCCATACTTTGCAAGAGGGAAGACTCAAGTAAGTTTAAGAAAGAAAGAAAAACTTTTATTGGCTTACATACAGAAAAAAAATGTAATCCCTTGTACTGTTATGTATTCAGTGGTATTCTTATTATTAAACTAACTTTTAAATGTCTGGAATATAATATTTTCTCTATTCTACTAATAATTTTTAGACCTGTTGTTAGCTTTTGAAAAGGAAATGCATGGTTTTCACATAGGAATTATCTGCTTATCAAAATGAAAATAAGTGAAATGTATTGATGTCTCTAGCTTATACGATAACCATGGCAAGATTTTGAGGACGCTGGCGGTGGTAGACATGACACTGCACACGGGCGCCCTGCCCCTCAATAACACCCTGGAGGGGCTTACGCAGGGCAGCTTCCGGCAGCCATGCGCCAGCACCGACAAGGCCATCGATCCGGACGTGAGTGACTTTTGACTGTACCTCTTTATGTTATTCTGTAAAGCCTATGCTGCAGCTCTGGGGAGCATTAAAAGGCTGATTATACCAATTGGAAAATGCTAAATTGCCTACGACTTCACATGTGATTACAGATGGGTGAGCGCGTTCTTGGCAGACTTCAGTTCGCTTCTGATGTAATGTCGTCGGATATCATGAAGGCACGCGACAATGGATTGCCATCTTACAACAAATATAGGGAACTGTGCAACCTGCCGGTGGCGCATGACTTCGAAGACTTTTACAAATGGCTGCCCAAGGATGTAAGTCTGATTGAATCATTTACGAGTAAGTTCGTTTGGAACACGCAAGTTTTGTAGGATTTAGGTGCTCATTGTTACGGAGTATTCCATTCCAGCTTCAAGTCTGTAGATCCTTCCAAAGCAAAAAAGGTATAAGTTTGGTTTAAAAAAAAGTATTAGATGAAGCTAGTTAGACTGTGGTGGTAAGGTTACAATCACTGGCTAGTACATTTAAATATGGTGACTTTTCAGCAAGCGGAGGCGTTCCAAATGATATACGAGGATGTGGAAGACGTGGAAGTGATGGCAGGTCTGCTAGCGGAGCGGCCTATGGGCGCGGGTGTGGTGGGCCCCACGCACGCCTGCATCATAGCGGACCAGATGCTGCGCTGGCGGCGCGCCGACCGGTTCTGGTACGAGCACTCCGCGCACCCGGCCGCGCTCACACCAGGTATGTCACTGTAAGGTGGCGGATACTGGAACACCGCTCACACCAGGTATGTTACTGACGCCTGCATCATAGCGGACCAGATGCTGCGCTGGCGGCGCGCCGACCGGTTCTGGTACGAGCACTCCGCGCACCCGGCCGCGCTCACACCAGGTATGTCACTGTAAGGTGGCGGATACTGGAACACCGCTCACACCAGGTATGTTACTGACGCCTGCATCATAGCGGACCAGATGCTGCGCTGGCGGCGCGCCGACCGGTTCTGGTACGAGCACTCCGCGCACCCGGCCGCGCTCACACCAGGTATGTCACTGTAAGGTGGCGGATACTGGAACACCGCTCACACCAGGTATGTTACTGACGCCTGCATCATAGCGGACCAGATGCTGCGCTGGCGGCGCGCCGACCGGTTCTGGTACGAGCACTCCGCGCACCCGGCCGCGCTCACACCAGGTATGTCACTGTAAGGTGGCGGATACTGGAACACCGCTCACACCAGGTATGTTACTGACGCCTGCATCATAGCGGACCAGATGCTGCGCTGGCGGCGCGCCGACCGGTTCTGGTACGAGCACTCCGCGCACCCGGCCGCGCTCACACCAGGTATGTCACTGTAAGGTGGCGGATACTGGAACACCGCTCACACCAGGTATGTTACTGACGCCTGCATCATAGCGGACCAGATGCTGCGCTGGCGGCGCGCCGACCGGTTCTGGTACGAGCACTCCGCGCACCCGGCCGCGCTCACACCAGGTATGTCACTGTAAGGTGGCGGATACTGGAACACCGCTCACACCAGGTATGTTACTGACGCCTGCATCATAGCGGACCAGATGCTGCGCTGGCGGCGCGCCGACCGGTTCTGGTACGAGCACTCCGCGCACCCGGCCGCGCTCACACCAGGTATGTCACTGTAAGGTGGCGGATACTGGAACACCGCTCACACCAGGTATGTTACTGACGCCTGCATCATAGCGGACCAGATGCTGCGCTGGCGGCGCGCCGACCGGTTCTGGTACGAGCACTCCGCGCACCCGGCCGCGCTCACACCAGGTATGTCACTGTAAGGTGGCGGATACTGGAACACCGCTCACACCAGGTATGTTACTGACGCCTGCATCATAGCGGACCAGATGCTGCGCTGGCGGCGCGCCGACCGGTTCTGGTACGAGCACTCCGCGCACCCGGCCGCGCTCACACCAGGTATGTCACTGTAAGGTGGCGGATACTGGAACACCGCTCACACCAGGTATGTTACTGACGCCTGCATCATAGCGGACCAGATGCTGCGCTGGCGGCGCGCCGACCGGTTCTGGTACGAGCACTCCGCGCACCCGGCCGCGCTCACACCAGGTATGTCACTGTAAGGTGGCGGATACTGGAACACCGCTCACACCAGGTATGTTACTGACGCCTGCATCATAGCGGACCAGATGCTGCGCTGGCGGCGCGCCGACCGGTTCTGGTACGAGCACTCCGCGCACCCGGCCGCGCTCACACCAGGTATGTCACTGTAAGGTGGCGGATACTGGAACACCGCTCACACCAGGTATGTTACTGACGCCTGCATCATAGCGGACCAGATGCTGCGCTGGCGGCGCGCCGACCGGTTCTGGTACGAGCACTCCGCGCACCCGGCCGCGCTCACACCAGGTATGTCACTGTAAGGTGGCGGATACTGGAACACCGCTCACACCAGGTATGTTACTGACGCCTGCATCATAGCGGACCAGATGCTGCGCTGGCGGCGCGCCGACCGGTTCTGGTACGAGCACTCCGCGCACCCGGCCGCGCTCACACCAGGTATGTCACTGTAAGGTGGCGGATACTGGAACACCGCTCACACCAGGTATGTTACTGACGCCTGCATCATAGCGGACCAGATGCTGCGCTGGCGGCGCGCCGACCGGTTCTGGTACGAGCACTCCGCGCACCCGGCCGCGCTCACACCAGGTATGTCACTGTAAGGTGGTGAATACTGGAAACACCGCTTAGACCAGTCATGTATCTCCTCTGAGGCTAAAGATATAATACTGCTTGTGAGCTCCGGATCATCAAATTAATCTTACATTGTTCTGACGTGCGAATCGCGTCACACACAGGGTATCACAGAGAATACTGTGGTTCAGCCTAAGCCAGATAATATTTCCTTGCTATCTACAGGCAATGGTGTGTTTCTTGAACGCCAATCGTGACATGTCCTCTAAGTGACTGAGGAACTAACCAAGGAGCCGAAATGCTTTTCGATAGGGGCAGATTGAATGACATAAGACCATAAATTTGAATAAATGAAAAGATATATGAAATTGTTGTTTGTTTTTTCTGCCGTAACTAATTTACACTTTTCTTTTCACAGAGCAATTGAAGGAGATACGTAAAATGACCATAGCTAAGGTGCTGTGTGACCACGGAGACAGCGTGGATGCTGTGCAACCTAATGCATTCCAAGTGCCACGTCCGGGGTAAGTAAAAAGAATTATAATACAAAAACATATTAAGCGAATTGTTCCAATGAAAGTGGCACATCTTAGAGCATTTACAAATGCTTTAAATGATGCACTTGTATTATGAAAATCTGAGACAGCACAAGGTACATATAACTAATATTAAAACTTGAGGCAATATAGAACAGTGATAGCAGATGGAATCAGCCCGTAAGGTGAGGATGGCTAGAGCATCACACTTTTCTGTCACAACAGCTGTCTTCGTTACTGGACTATACCAAGGACCAATAATGGGTCCTTAACTATACCAAACCTTAACATTGTCTGGGAAAGATCCACTATGCTCTACATCTCTTAAACCTGAACCTGATGATAAACCGCCTGGCTCACTCGCCTGTGGCATTTACATATTTTTTATTTTGCGTCGCACATAAATATTTTAGCCTTCTTATTAATGGTGAATGGTCCCTTTTCCTGTACATCAATTATTATTATTTTAATTTAATGTACCTGCAATATAATTATTATTATTAGTATTTATATATATTATGCCTATCCTATGCTTTGTTTCAGTAACGAGATCATCCCCTGCTCGGAATACCCGGACATGGACATGGCTGCGTGGCGAGACGTTTCCTGCACAAACAAACGGGGCAAATAATAACTTTAAGCACGATTAATAAAATAAAAATAAAAACATAAAACATAAGTATCTTTATTTGTTAATCACTTCACCAGAATTTGCTTACACCATTCAATCAAATTATTCGCACATTAGCGTAAGGAAATACTTTTGGCCTTACCTTTTGCTGAAGTGACACATTTTTAACACATTCCTTAACAATACTAAGCATATAGGGATCCTCACCTAACGATTTTAGTTGAGAATGCAGATTTATAGAGCTAAGGATTCCATAAAATACAGTAGTTACATTTTTGTTCTAGGACAAATATTGACGAAGTTATGACCAAATTACTAAACCAATTTTCGGCTGGCCGCGTGGTGACTGCTCTAGCGCTGCGGCGCGAGTGTGCGTACGACTAAAAGCGCCTACTGACATGCCTGCCGCAGGGACAATCTAGGGTGCACGGCGGTCGGCCCAATATCGGCTTGTCTCTACGCCGTTGTTCTACACACATGCCTGCTATTCAGTGTTCGGGCGTATGTTGAGCTAAACACACACGTTGATGTATTTGACACTGACATTGACAGTGTAATCAAAATTACCGTAACAAAAGGAAATACTGGGTGAAGAATTGACAACATAAAGAAATGTATTGTAAATAAGTAATGTTTATGATTAGAAAAAAATCCACGCGGTCCTGGCAGCAGACGGGACTCGAACCTGCACCCTTCGCTATCCGGGCGAATGCACTGATCAATTATGCTACCGCGGCCCTGACGGCCGTATCGAATTCTTTCTAGCCTTCCTTAAGCTGCAAGGCAGCGCCATCATGCGCATATGTAACCCACAATGTCAAATGAATACCTTTACAAGTATTAAACATTTAAAAGAAGAAATAGCAATGAAAGTTATAATTTTATTTTTTAGACATTTAACTGCTCAATGTTTGAATCTAAAAAAAAATATTACAAGAATAAATAAGAAACTATTTCTATTTTTCTAGTAATATTTTCTTTAGATTTAAACATCGAGCAGTCACATAGGTACTTAAAAAATGAAAATTAATTAAAAAATACATAAATAATGTTTGCTTTTTATCCCACATGTGGGGCCGGTCTTTATATACTTCGATCACTCGTATCCAAACTTCATGCTCATTATGATCTGCCGCCATCTTGATCGAAATACGTGCGCTGCGTGTGACAGCTACTAACCAACTGATTGAGGAATTGGCCCAATCGCGCTACACACGCGGCAACGTGCAGGGCGGTTGGGACAATCTAGTGAGCAAGGGTGGTCACGCGCTCCTGCCGCCCTGCCGCAGGCCCGATTTAGAAAATTGCCCCAACTTGCCTACACACATCACAATTCAGGAAGCAATTAAGGGTCATCCCCACTCTTACACCCTAGATTGTCCCTGCGGCAGGCATGTCAGTAGGCGCTTTAAAGCTACTAAAATTCGACCGGAGTGAACCACGATCGAGCTGTGTGACGTCACATGTTTCAGCCGCCAGTGAATATTGGCTACCATAAAATTAGTTATAAAATCGCAACGAATGAACTGATTTCGATAATTTAAAAGTATATTAATTAAAAGTTTATTAGATCATTATACTGTTTTGAGTTGATTTGCTGACCTAGCAAGGATCCTCATTGGATAGTGCCACCTGCGGTCCGGATAGCGAAAAATGCGATTTCGAATCCCGTCGGAAACCTGGACCAAGTGATTTTTTTCCTAGTATTTTTTATATTTGAACATCCAGCAGTTGAATGCTTAAAAAATAAAAATTGCTACTTCACCAAACGAAAAAAAAATAGCATTACCAATATTGTTTATTGTAGTTTGGCATGCAGCGTACCATGGACCATTTTGGTTTTCCAATTTTTTGAATAAAGTTAGGCACTATGATGTTACCTAACAACAATAAAATCTAATAATAAATTAATTGAATTAAAAGTTTTTATAATACAATCACTACTGATATGTTTAAAATGAAAATCATTACTGCACTTATCAACACTTGACTCAAGAAGGGTCATTGCTAACCTAGAACAAGAATTACTACTAACTAGAAAAGAAATTTTCAAAGACTAAGATAAAAACTTAGCTTTTGCTATTGCACACACCTTTTTAAAAGTTTCTGAATAGCTTTTGACATATTCTATAAGCTTAGGATCAGATGAGGTTGCCTCGAGAGCATATAATTGATACAACTTATTTCTACTTTTGTAAATACCAGGTGTCGCCCAATCACTATTTTTTTAGAGTTTGCTTTTGAACATTTTATTTAATTCATATTTAATTAAATTGAATAAACTCTGGAGTACATTGAAGTTCCTTAAGATACAAAAAACAGACAATACATGTAAGTTAATTTTAAATAAACAATGATTTAATTTAAGATACTTAAATTAACAAATCTTTTAAATGAGAGTGTTTTACGTGTTTGTGTGTGTGAGTGTATGTGTGTGTGTGTTTGTGTGTGTGTGTGAGTGTGGGTATGCAGCTTAATTGAATAAGCCTGAGGTTATTTACTGTTATCTACTCAGAAAGTCTTCTATCTGCTCATAAGTAAGTGAATAAAGCCAATTGTCAACCAAAGTTTTACATTCTCTCGAAGAAAGCCTGTAAATGACAAGTACTGTATTTACCTTGTTATACAATTTTGGGCTTAGGAATCTATACTGTCGTCTCACCACACCAAGGCTGCAAGTCTCTAACTTGCACACTCTATCAGCACAAAAGAGTAACAAATAGCATACAAAGTATTTGTCGGGAAATAAAGGAGCTTACGGGACATAACTTTTGGTACAGCTCTTTGAGCTCTTTCCAATCGAAGAAAGAAACTCTTACCAGCATTGCCAGAAGCGGTAATGCAGTAGGTTAAAATAGAGTGTACTAAGGCAAAAAAGACGATCTTTAGTATACTAAAATCAGCGGAAGTTAGTAAATTTCTGAACACAAAAATTAATTTTCTAACCCTTGAGATGAGGGAATCGACTTGATTGTTCCAAGACAAAGTGCTATCTATAAACACGCCAAGGTATTTTCTGTTATGTGTTCTAATAATATTAGGACAGTCACAGACATAGTCCATTGTCCTGTTACATCTGTGTGCAATCAATTCGAAGGAAGAGTCAATGCAACTCTAGGAGCAAAAGTAATATATTTAGTTTACTGGATATTAAGGGTAAGCAAATTTGAATTTAACCACTTCAGAACTATGTTCAGAGCAGCTTCCGCGCATGAACGCGCTTCCATCCAGCTAGTACCATAAGCTATAATAGCAGTATCGTCTGCATATGTGATTATTTTGGAGTTGTTTAAGGACATCATACATATGTCGTTAATATACACCAAAAACAGGGTAGACCCGAGAACACTACCCTGTGGAACGCCGAAAGTGAGTGATACCTCTTAACTAATAAAATCTTAACAACTTGGGAACGTTGGCTTAGGTAGCTGATAAAAATATCAAGTGCCAGACCCCTGACCCCTACTCTTTGTAAGTTATTTAGCAAGATTGGAATAGAAACGGTGTCAAATGCTTTTGACATGTCGAGAAAAATGGCTACAGTTTTTAATATCTTATTCAAATTTAACGCCACGTGGTTAGTCAACTCAAGCACCGCATCTTCAGTACTTCTACCAGACCTAAAACCAAATTGGTTTGCAGCTAAGATGTTATGTGTATAAAGAAAAGCGACGAGTCTCTTATTTATAATTTTTTCAAGTAAATTGGACAAACTAGTAAGGACAGATATAGGCCTAAAATTATTTACAGTATTATCGCCTTAATTGTGTATCAGATTGTACGAGTGCTTTTTTGAAAACAGCAGGAAACTTACCGGATTCAAGGCAGAGATTAAAAACATGGCAAATAATAGGCACCAAAATGTGCCGAGCGGCCCTGATAAGTCCAGGTGAAATACCATCCCAACCAATGGTACTATCCAGCTTAAACTCGAGTATCAGCCGGTCAATCTCCTGACTATCCGTAGTAAAAAACAGCCATTGAATCAGATGCTGGATTTAATGAAACTTGTTGAAAGGTATCATTAGGACTTGACTCAATTTTGGATGCCAGATCTTTACCTACGTCAGCAAAAAATGTATTTACTATGTCTACAGAGCGTGATGGATTTTCATTGATTAATAAAAGTAATGAAGTAGTAAGAAAAAATGGCGACCTCCGTGGTCGAGTGGTTTGTACGCCGGGTTTCATGGTGTCGCCGACTCGAGAGGTCCCGGGTTCGAATCCCGGTGGAGGCAGATGTTTGCGTGATGAATACGAGCATTTGTACTCCAGTCATGGATGTTTAATATGTATTTCTATATAAATATACTTATATATGTATAGTATATGTATTGTATCCGTTACCCTAGGATCTCATGACACAAGCCTTACTTACAGTGCTTACTTTGGGGCTAGGCTAATTGGTGTGAGTGTTGGAAATATTTATTTATAGCTATTAACGGGATTGTTACCATGTACCTTGTTTTTTATGAGTCTCCGATATTTCGGCACTGTTGCAAGCGACATGATCACGGAGTAACTGAAGTAATTGCGGGTAGATGTTATTGGCAGACATATCGGTCTACCCTCTGACGTCGTCTTTTACTGCGCTCGATATAGGGGTATCGATTCTCACTATTCACTCGCACCTGTTCCCGACACACAATGCTGACAGTATCAGATCGCGGAACGACACTTTTTTGATTTTTGCGGTTTTTGCACATACGAACCACTGGATTCCAGACACTTGATCAGATGCAACAGTGCCGAAATATCGGAGACTCATAAAAAACAAATGGTAACAATCCCGTTAATAGCTATAATGTTAGTGACCATGAAAGTTTAAAACAATATTTATTTATTTATAAGTTTCTTAGTTTTTAAAATACACCTTCAGACTTAAACATATCTTTTTAATTTGTTCTTACTAAGCTTAACAAGTTAATATCAGGCATCGTAGTGCCATAATGAGATAATGACGGTGACAGTGCATTGCAATCATCGATTCAAAGAGTTTTGCCAGTAAATCAGCCTTTCCATGCGGCTTATGACCGACTGATTTATGTGTAGACATCTTAGAGGTGGCAGCGATGGCTGGCAAAAGTTGTTGTCATGCACGGAATGGGCCAAACGCAAATAACTACGGAAGCCCGTAGGATGCGTTGTCAGTTCGTAACCAATACGTGCAAAGCGCTGGGCATTCGTTCTGACATAAGCCTTCTTGCAGGACCTGGAAGCACTATTGTAGGTTGTTTTTAGAGAATCGACCCCGGGATATTTAAGAGTGCCGCCTCTGATGCTGCTTTCGCAAAACAGCTACAGCACAATCGCGATGAACCAGCGGTTACGTCTGCCCTTATTCACCGGCGGCCGAAACATGTGACGTCACAGAGCTAAATCGTGGTTCACTCCAGCCGGTAGAACTTTAGTAGCGTCTCTACGCACGCTAGCGTCCGAGCGCTAGAGCTCTGTATCGTCACAGTCACCACGCGGCCAGCCGAAAATTCGTTTAGTAATTTGGTCATAAATTCCTCAATATATGTTGTAGAACAAAAATTTAACCACTGTATTTTATGGTATACTTAGCTCTATAATTTCCATTTTCAACTGAAATCGAGGATATCTTCTCAACTAAAATAGGATCCGTAAGATCCTCATTATGCTACTGAGAACTTAATGTAGTATTGTTGAGGAATGAATAATTTAAAATGTCATCCAGCAAAAGATAAGGCCGAAAGTATTTCCTTAACTGTACAAATAATTAGATCGAACGGTGTAAACAACGCATTTGTTTGATGGTGATTAAAAACAAATAAACAAAGATACTTGTGTTTTATTAATAGTGATGACAGTTTGTTTTCATTTGCCGCGTTTGTTTGCGCAGGAAACGTCTCGCCACGCGGCCATGTCCATGTCCGGGTATTCCGAGCAAGGGATGATCTCGTTACTGAAACAAAGCATAGTAAAGGAATAATATATATTGATCATCATCATAATCATCAGACTATTAATGTCCCCACTGCTGGGACACAAGCCTTCCCTATGGATGGATGGTAGTTTGGGCCATGAACCACCACGCGGGCCCAGTGTGGTTTGTTAGGTGCTAACGGTTGCAGATGCAGCCGGGACCAACGGTTTAACGTGCACGTTTTACTTCCGAAGCACGGAGGAGCTCGAGATAGTAAATTTTTGGTCACCCATCCAATGACCGACCACTGCGACAGTTGCTTAACTTCAACGATCGCAGCCGAACGCGTTAACCACCTGCGTCATCGAGCTCCTCATATACATATACTGCAGGTACAGTAAATTAAAACAATACTAATTGATGTGCAGGAAAAGGGAACATTCACCAATATACAGAAGGTTAAAATATTTATGTGTGACGTAAGATAAAAAAAACCATGTAAATGCCACAGGCGAGTGAGCCAGGCGGTTCACCATCAGGTTCAGGTTTAAGAAATGTAGAGCATAGTGGATCTTCCTCAGACAATGTTAAGGGTTGGTATAGTTAAGGACCAATTATTGGTCCTTGGTATAGTCCAGTAACGAAGACAGCCGATGTGACAGAAAAGTGTAACGCTCCAGCAATCCTCACCTTACGGGCTGATTCCATCTCCTATCACTGCTCTATATTGTCTCCAGCCTTAATGTTAGTTATATGTACCTTTTGCTGTCTCAGATTTTCATAATACCAGTGCATCCCTTAAAGCATTTGTAAATGCTTGATGTACCATTTTTATTGGAATAATTTGATTTGTATTATAATTCTAATTATTTACCCCGGACGTGGCACTTGGAACGCATTAGGTTGCACAGCATCCACGGTGTCTCCGTGGTCACACAGCATCTTAGCCATCGTCATTTTACGTATCTCCTGCAATTGTTCTGTGGAAAGAGAAGCATAAATTAGTTACGGCAGGAATTAACAGGACTAAACATCTTTATATATCTTTTCATTTATTAAAATTTCTGGTCTTATGTCATTCAATCTGCCCCTATCGAAAAGCATTTCGGCTCCTTGGCGTCAGCGTCTTCAGTGATATTTAGTTCCTCAGTCACTTAGAGGACATGTCACGATTGGCGATCAAGAAACACACCATTGTCTGTAGATAGCAAGGAAATATTATCTGGCTTAGGCTGAACCATAGTATTCTCTGTGATACCTTGTGTGTGATGCGATTCGCACGTCAGAACAATGTAAGATTAATTTGATGATTCGGAGCTCACAAGCAGTATTGTATCTTTAGCCTCAGAGGAGATACATACCTGGTGTGAGCGCGGCCGGGTGCGCGGAGTGCTCGTACCAGAACCGGTCGGCGCGCCGCCAGCGCAGCATCTGGTCCGCTATGATGCAGGCGTCAGTAACATACCTGGTGTGAGCGGTGTTCCAGTATCCGCCACCTTACAGTGACATACCTGGTGTGAGCGCGGCCGGGTGCGCGGAGTGCTCGTACCAGAACCGGTCGGCGCGCCGCCAGCGCAGCATCTGGTCCGCTATGATGCAGGCGTCAGTAACATACCTGGTGTGAGCGGTGTTCCAGTATCCGCCACCTTACAGTGACATACCTGGTGTGAGCGCGGCCGGGTGCGCGGAGTGCTCGTACCAGAACCGGTCGGCGCGCCGCCAGCGCAGCATCTGGTCCGCTATGATGCAGGCGTGCGTGGGGCCCACCACACCCGCGCCCATAGGCCGCTCCGCTAGCAGACCTGCCATCACTTCCACGTCTTCCACATCCTCGTATATCATTTGGAACGCCTCCGCTTGCTAGAACAAGACCTTATCATTATAGCAAGCCAGCGATTGCCACCACTTCGGCTAAATATTTTGCTAAAACTGAACTCAAATCTTATTTTTCTAGTGAGTTCTACTGATCAACCTTATTTAATACATAATTGAAGCACTTAAGAATTGTTTTGTAGTTGTGTAGTTTTTGTCTAGAGGAGCATACTACACCACATGACCTTTGTGGATTGGCAGGGTCCACTATGAGGCTGCCAACCCGCAAGGGTTGTAGATATAGACAGGCAAAGGAGAATAGTAATAAATAAACAGACTTACATTCTTGGGAAGCCATTTGTAAAAGTCTTCAAAGTTGTGCGCCACTGGCAGCTTGCACAGTTCCCTATACTTGTTGTAGGATGGCAATCCATTGTCGCGAGCCTTCATGATGTCCACGGCCACCACATCAGACGCGAATTCCAGTCTGCCAAGAACGCGTTCACCCATCTACAAGCAAATGTGAAATCGGCAACCAAGCACGTTTCATTTTATTCCATTTACGCCACAAACAGGCCTCTAATTCGAAGGAATTAGTCTAAATATTATTCTGTAAAACCTGTGTTTTACAGAATAACATTTAGAGAAAAGACAAATATCCACCACGCAGACATAACTACGGGTGTTCCAACTTTACGCGCTTTAAAAAGCATGGAGATACGAGTAGGTACATATTTTTTATTGTGAAAAAAGTCTGATGATAGTAATATCCGATAGAATACTGTGGGAGGCACAGGTAGATACCGGAACGGAAGGAGATACACGGATCAAGTTATCTTGCTCGACATATCGCAGAGAAGTATCTGGTTTTGGGCTGTAAAATTTTCTACGGTTTTATGAATCTTGAGAAAGCATTTGACAAAGTTATGCGAAATTATCTTTGAAAGTCGGGAATACGGGAATATATTGCCGCCGAGGTATGGGATGCGTGTTTGCAGTCAACATGTTAAAATTCTACTGCTGCATGAGTGTTGTCGAACAGTGAAATGTAAAGCAGACTTGTGTAAGTTTCGTGGTTCCTGGATTACTAATGGGTGACGTAGTTGTGGACTGTCTGCTTTGCTTCTTGCTTTTTGCTGGGATTATTGACCTAGAATCTTGACTACCCTCTTCGAATGTAATGCTTAACTGTTTAAAATTTATTTTACAATTAATCGTCGTTAATGCCGAATGCGACATAAGAACCCATACATTATTTAAAATTTTCTATACCTGCAGAATTTTACCAACCTGAATTTTACTCACATTAAATGATTACCTTTTGATATTATAGTTGTCTCTTCAACATTCTAAGCATACAGTATTTTTAAAACTTAATTATAATTTGTTATTTTAAAGGTACCACTGCCAGTAAAGAGGGGAGAATACTGGTCTTCTGTGATACGGGATCGCGGCCTAGTTCATATGCCAGTCCCTCCCAAGGGCGGATCCGGGGGCGGAGGGCGGATCATGACCCTCCCCCTGGGCTGGGTACAGATGGACCAAACACAGGGGGATTTTATTTAAGTACTTACAATATTTAATATACCACGACTATATGACCCCCCCCCCCCCCCGCCTATCGCCAAAGCTGGCTATATGACCCCCCCCCCCTGGCGCCATAGCTGGATCCGCCCTTGGTCCCTCCACAATCTTGTCTTAAAGAACTGAATTCTATGTTTGTATGGTTTTTTGTGTATGTGATTGTGTGGAGGGGAAGTTAAGCCTTATTATTTTGTTTTTTTCTTGTGAGCGTGTACTCACGTCAGGATCGAGGAGCTTGTCGGTGCTGGCGCATGGCTGCCGGAAGCTGCCCTGCGTGAGCCCCTCCAGGGTGTTGTTGAGGGGCAGCGCGCCCGTGCGAAGAGTCATATCTACTGTCGCTAGCTGCCTCAAGATCTTTCCATGGTTATCGTATAAGCTGAGGATATCAATAAATTTATAAATATTCTTTTCTTTAATTCTTTTAATTTTTCATATTTGATAAAGATATAGGAGCAAAGCAAATTTTATGGCTCTCACCAAAAACATATCTGTTTTTGGTGAGAGCCATAAAATTTGATCGCTCTCAGAATTGAGAGCGATCTATTAAAACGGGCCTAAAAGTTTGTCAAATTAAATGATCATCAAAACTCACTTGAGTCTTCCCTCTTGTAAAGTATGGAACCACCTGGAAAAGACGGTATACTCCAGGCTGACGCGTGGCTCCAGATTCGGGTCGTAGTCATCCACGTGTCCGTGGCCGGGAAATATCACACCATTTTTCACTAGAAACTCGTAATCTGGGGGTTACACAGGGGTCTATATTGAGCCACTTTTTATTCTTAAAATGAAATGTAGCAGGCTTTTTAATGTCTAGTACAGGTGAAGTGATATTTTTATCATGCATTAATTGCGTTATTTATAACAACGGGAACAGTGAACCCTACTCGTAATACCAAATTATGTGAAGACATTTTTCAGCTAACGGAATTGTTTGCATTATTAAAAAAGATCTCAAGTCCTAAAAAGACCTCTTACCTACAACGTTAGGCATGAAGTCATAGAACGCTATATGTTGCCATATAGCAATGTTGATGTCCCTGGTCACAGCGAAGAGTTTGTCGTCATCCCAGCAGGGGTTCACTTTGGCGAGCTTCTCTGCCAAATAGTTGTGCTGCCGGTGGTTCCAGAGATAGAACATGTTGGTTGGAAGCAAAGAGTTGACGAACAGAAAGGCTGTAGAAATAGAATCTTTAAAGCGTTACTGGAAAACACCTTGCGATTCATTAACCTTTAAAGACTAACTGGCTCTTATAAATATCATAAATATCTTACGCAAAACTATCTGTTTAAAGTGTCCCTTATCCCTCCAGATAACACTTATGATTCCATCTCAATTGGTAACAAATTGGGTTGAAAACTGGTGGTCACTGTAATTGAATTGAGGATCACTTGTAAGGAATGTTATAATTTGAAAATATTCTGAAAGGTTAAGAATAAATGTAAAAATCTTATTTACCTCTTCCTGTATACAAAAATGCTATTACTTATTCCTATAATTTGTTCCGATGAAGCCATGTGTCACAATTTCGCACTGTAGCTAATTGTCTAATTAACCCGAGTTCTGGGATCAATCAGAGCCATTTACATAGTAATTAATGATATAATAATAAATAAAATAAGCACTGTGAGGCTTGTGTTATGGGATATACCTGATACGGACGGATAGAATACATATATTGTACATATTATATGAGTATATTTATATAGCAATCCATATTAAACATCCATTACTGGAGTACAAATGCTCATATTCATCACACAAACATCTGCCCCCACCGGGATTCGAACCCTCTTGAGTCGGCAACACCATGAAACCCGGCGTACAAACCAGGGCTTGTTTACCGGTTAATTTTCAAACTTAAATCAGTGTCAAGTACATTAGGAGCCTTTTATTTAGGTTTGGCTCTACCTTAACCTTAAATAACCGGTTTTCGGTTTTGAATCAATTTATCGGTTTATAAAGGGTTTCATTTCGCTTTTTCTGACGGCATCGATAATAAATGAATAACTTGAGTCACTAGACGCTAGCAATCGTGTCAAAAAATGCATCAATCTCTGAGCATTAACAAGTTGTGACTTGATTAGTTCAAACAAATAAACTTTAAGCGATGCCGACGCGTGCACGTGTCGCTCTGGATTCAACCGATTTATTAAGGTTTAGGTACCACTTTCATTTCGGACGCGCTCCGAACGAAACCTTTACTAAATACCGGTATTAACCATTATTTACCGGTATTTTCGAAACCGGTTTCAAGCCCTGGTACAAACCACTCGGTCATGTAGGTCGTCGAAATGAATAAATGAAATGTATCGATCGACATGTATGAATAAAAATATGAATAAGTTAATGATAATAAAAATGAAAGAATATGATGTCTTTATATTTCGTATCTCTACTGTACGTATGAATAATGATAAATGGACTTATAAAGTGACTACTTTGGAAAGGACTTCGACACAAAAGAAATAGAGGTCGACCAAAACAAAGATGGATAGATGAAATTAACGACGTGGCTGGTAGAGACTGCGTCACACGAGGCCAAAGATAGAAAAAAATGGAGTAAAATGGAGGACGCCTTTACTCGCTGAGGGATCGACCTAATATAATTTGAATTGTACTTAATGAATGACATGGTATATTTGATATTTCTTAAGGAAATAAAAAGGCTATAATAATAATAACAATGGTATCGATTCTCTAAAGCTAAACTTAAATTTGACAATAGTGTATGCCGGTCATTCTCTATACAGAATGAAAAGGACAGACTGATCTTAAATTTAGTTTTAGGTTTAGAGAATCCTGCCAGAATCGACACCAATATTTCTTATCTATAAGGTTCCTTGGTAACCCACTTACGAGCGTTATGACACCTGGTCTCGTTCAGATTGTTCTGCAAACAGCCGAAGCCGTTACCCGGAGGCCAATCTTTCCCCTTCAGCTTCTCGGAAGTCAGTCGTCCCCCCCACCGCTCCCTCCCAGAATTCATGCTCGCTTCCTCGAGCCCGTACACAAACGACAGATCTATCATGGGAGTTGCCATGCTAACCTGCCAAATGTAACATGCTTATGTTTTATTTTTGAAGTGAAAACTTCTTTAGCGGCGTTGTATTCTTTTTTTTGTACGGGTAAAAAATGTTAAACTCGCGTCAGGTTAAACACGTGGGCTGATCGCATCATGACACACAATAAAATTGGAAAGGTTGTTGACTTTCAATATATTGGACGAAACATAGTATATATTTTATCGTATTATAATAATAAGTCTCTATCTAGGACGTCCACGTGGCAGCTTTATTGCGAAGAAAATGCATTTTTTTTACAATAGATGTCGCTAAGTGCGCGTAAACGTGATTCATGTAAGTTGATTTTTTGAGAGATAAACTTTTTTAATATAATATAAATTGTCATGTTTGTGTACGATAGCGCAATAAATAAATATTATATTCTACCACATACATGATAGTACTTTTATACTGATAATTAAAGCAATTCGTGCAAAATTATTCGTTAACCATTCCAAAATATCAAAAATGCACAACGTTAAATCAATTTTTCACTTCTGCCGGCACTCCCGGAGTGCAACCCGTCGTTTTTTTTTTTATCAGGCGTTCTGAGCATTCATTGTTTTAACCATATCACGACGGAAAGGTTGTAACTTGTCGGTGTCGGCTCGGCGGGTGCAAAGACGCATTGAAACATCAGTTTTATTCATTTCTTTTATGTTTATGAGAGTAGTAGTCTAATTCAAAATTTCCCTGTGTTGAATTTGGTTCCGAGAGGAAGAAGCCCCATGCGCTGGACAGACCAGATCCGCCGCAATACCAAAACTGGAATCCGCGATGCACTCCACACTGCCGAAGGCCGCAATAAGTGTTATTTTTATGGGATTTTTTTTTTGTTTTTATTTTTTTATGGTACATCATACAAAAATACATACAACCTTAAATTTTCACCCTTCTACCATCAATCCCAATTTTTTTTATAGCGGTGCGAAGTTCGCTGGGACAGCTAGTGTTTATATATTAATAATTTATGCAATGAATCAGTCTCTGACTCGTAATAATATAAAATACATAAACGCAGAACCCAGCAGCAACGACTTACCCTCTCCGGTGGAATAGTGTCAGGGATGCACCCCAACCCCTGGTAGGTGATAGAGCGTGTTAGGTTCATACAGCGCACGTTGCTCCTCCTCAGATGCACGTCGTCATCAGGGACCCTAATGGGCATGCAACGGCGGTCCAGATCCCCACCAGGCATGCAGCAAGTCCTCGTCACGGCGACGTAGTTGAACGTGTCGTGGATGCTGGTAGTGTCACCTAAAACAGTTCATGTACTCTACAGTTATGTTTGTCATCTTCAACAGCCTATTAATGTCTTGATTGCCCCAGCACAGGCAACATGCATGAGCCACCACGCGAGCCCAGCTCGGATTGGTCGATGTCAACGTCTGCAAATGCGGCTGGGACCAACGGCAGCACGTGCCATCCAGAATAGGGAGGAATAACAACATATTGAGTCACCCATCCAATGACCGCCGATTGCGAAAGTGGCTTAACTTTCACGATCGCAGACCGAGCGCCCTAGAGCTCCTCACGGAAACTTGTGTGCAAGTCGCACAATATCTAAAATCATTCCAATCGCTTGTAAGTCTTAAAGTAAGATGGAGTATTTTGACAGTTTTATTAAAAGGAGATTTGTTGTGTTTGTTTTGGACGTTTTGGCGAATTTGAGGGATTCCTATTGGATTGGTGAACCATAGATGATTTTGGTTTTATGCGAGGTTCAGAAAATTCCCCCCCCCAATCACACATGCTTTTTCGTCTAGTTTGGAGGTATTAAATTTACGCAAATTGTGTGTACGTGACTATCATGAAAAGAGGTGATTAAGATGTCAACAACTATCGACCTGTGGCTGCTAGGGATAATCCTAGGTAACGCGGAAGAATCCCTGAACGGGGATCCCGCGGTTTCACACTAAGCAGCTTAGAGGATATTCTCAGGGTTTGTTAGCAGATATTATGCCGTAAAACACCAGTAAGAGCTACGGGGTCCTCAGTCGGCAGGCACTGCGGGGGCTCGTAAGACATGTGGGAGACAGGTGTTAGATACGTTCGGCGGAGTGCCTCTTAAAGGCGCCGTCGTCTGTGAATAGAGGTTTTGCCTGCATCACAAAAAAAGGAATACTCCTAGGCGTGAAAGAGGTGTTATAAAAACAGACAAAGAAAGACGGGCGGAATAATAAAGAAGTATTAAGATAAGGTAAGAAGATAAGATAAGGAAAGGAATAAAAAGACATAATAAAAAGTGGTATGAAGACACTTATTGCTGTTACTTTAAATGAGACTGGGAAGGTAAATGTCGATATTTCGTTTAGTGTGTTAATTAAAAGATTTAAAAGATTTTAGCTTAGAAAAAATGTGTTCAATGAAACGGACTAGGTATTGAAGTGTAACTCGAATTAGATCAGGTATTGGAATGGATTAGGTATATTGAATGGGCATACAGAAACATAGTTATGTCTTACCGTTGAAAAGATTGAGCAGTCTACTAGGAGATAGAAAGGATCCTATGGTGATTACGAGTTGCAAGGACAAAGATTTGGAGTGGTGATATGGAAGCAATGCAAGTAACACACACGATGTTACGTGTAAGTGGAGTCCACGTAGATAGCTGAAGAACTAGAAAACTGTAATGCAGAGGCGTCTTTAGCTCCTGTAGCGCTCATGTGTAATCATTAACCTAGCGCCTTCTAGTAAGGGCGCAGTCAAAATGTAATGGTGGCGTGTGACACTCGGCGCCCCTTGAGACCGATGCGTCTGTGTGCAACGCACTCCCTGCATCATAGGTACCAGCCTCTATTCAAGTCGATAGAGAGATAGATAAGACTTTATTCGCACCAACATGCACACATATAAAATTGACAAGATAAATCTTACAATTGGATCATTCAAATCAGTCAACAAATATATTTAAACAACTACACTATGATATGATTTTATTTATTTTTTAAGCATTTAACTGCTAGATGTCAAAATCTAAAGAAAAGTTTACTAGAAAAAAATCCACGTGGACCAGGCAGCGGACGGGACTCGAACCCGCATCCTTCGCTATCCGGGCGAATGCACTGACCATTATGCCTGGTCCGCGTGGATTTTTTTTCTAGTAAACTTTTCTTTACACTATGATAATTTCGTGTGCAGCAGCGAAGTGAATGAGCGGAAACACAGAAAAACATTTTCTCAGAGAGTATATAGCTGATTTTCAGTTTTGACCCATATAACTGAGGTTACGAATTGAAATGCCAGAATAAAATTCACAATTAGTTGTCTTCACCAACGCAATCTCTTAACCCGTCAAGCATCAGAATTGCGATGCGATTTGGCTCAGTACATGATAAAGTTGAATTGTCCAGTGGTCAGTGTATTTTACTTTGCCGATATCAGAAGACACGTAAAGTAGTTGGTCCAGCTAAGTCTGGATCTGATATTTTTATGTCTAGCATCACACGTGTTCCATTGCAGGCCACAACATTTAGAATTTATCCTCTTTCATATCTGTTTCTTAGGTTTTCACTCACATCATCATCATCAACCTATTAATGTCCCCACTGCTGGGGCACAGGCCTTCCCTATGGATGGAATAGGGAGATTGGGCCATGACCCACCACGCTGGCCCAGTGCGGATTGGTGGGTGCTAACGACTGCAGATGCAGCCGGGACCAACGGCTTAACGTGCCTTCCGAAGCACGGAGGAACTCGAGATAGTAAATTTGTGGTCACCCATCCAATGACTGACCACTGCGAAAGTTGCTTAACTTCAACGATCGCAGCTGATCGCGCTTACCACTTGCGCCATCGAGCTTCACGCACACCACTCATTAAATTAAACAATCTTCAATGGGCTTCATGCGTTAGTCTATTTGTCCCTTGACGCCTCGCATCGTTTTCATGCTGCGTCGTCAGAATTATGATGATCATAATTCATTGGAATTTGGATAATTCGCTGAAGATTATTCTCTTTCATTTCTTCGAATTGAAAGGCTCGGAGCCTTTCAAAGATTGAGGAATTGGTGGGTAGGACTAACTAACATGACTCTTAATCCCAGCATTAATTTTAAGGACCGGGGTCCACGAAATGGTTGGTGAGAGCGCGGGTTTGATCACCTACCAACGCCAAGGACAGAATGATCTATACTGGACCGCTTGGTAGATTGTAACCTACCTATATCTGGTCTACCTATGTGACTGATGATGATTTAGATAAAGTCAGTGCTATAAGTAATAAGTATGTACCTGCAAGAGCTGTAGTCAGGATTGTCAGCAATTGGGTGTTTTTCTTGCTGGGTAGTCTTCCATCTGGTACTAGGGCTACTCGGAGAGCTCTTGCGTTTGGTAGCGGTGTACCCGCCTAAAAAACAATTCATTCTTAATTCTTAGTATGCTTTTTTGTGCAAGTATACTTTAATTACAATTAATTACAACGAAGAAAACAAAAGACGCTAGTCTGGATCCCCTCAATCTTTTGAGAGTAGCTGCTTCAACCGACTCTAGTTCTGGCCAGCTTCCAAACCCGAGGCTTACTCAGCGCTGGCTTCGCGTCACCGTGGCGTCAGTTCAACGATTTTTAGCAAACAAGTACAATGCAAGCCGGTCAGCGCTGGCGTAGTGTCTACATTGCCACACGACAACAACGCTCAAAAGACCCCAGTGTGGGAGGTCTACAAATAAGTATTACCTTTGTAGTCCGCAGTCCACCGTCTGTAGGGAAGTCGGGGGGTAGCAAGCGGTGAAAAGGGGTAAAAATAGTCCCTCTAGAGGGGTAGTGTACGTTGTTGCAGCTGTAGTCGAAGCGCCGCGGCTCGACTAGAGAACAGTTCTTCACTTCAATAGCGCATAGTCTGTGGAGCAAATGTCAAATCTTAACAGCACATGATTATCGATCTTCGAGACACCGTGCGACCAAGAACTTACATGACATTGGCGTTGCTTGTGAATAAGTCATGAAATTGAAAAACTAAGTAACATCCCCTCACTAACGAATAATTTACAATAACTCAGAAAGAGTAATCCTCCATAGATATAGGGCAAATTTTAATCCTTCTAAAAATTATTTCCGATTTTAGCCACGCGCCACAAGATCTTGATTACACTGTATTATCTGCCTTCAGTAGACAACTACTAATAACAGAGTCTACAAATAGAATTCAGAGTGGCAGAAGCACGTACCACCCTGACTTCAGGTAAGATGGAGTTTTCTTCTTCTTCCTCAGCGGACGGGGCCTGTTGAATGGAGTGTCATACTCCAGGGACCGCGTCGTATCATCATCGGAACAGCAATATTTTATCATGGGTTCAAAAAAAACACAAATGAATAATAAAATAGCATCTACACTATAAGGTGAAGTCAGTGACATCTTTGACCTATTGGAAGCCCTGGGCACATCAGGATAATGGGGCCCCTATGAACCCGTTTGGTGATCTAACAGGAACTAGGGACTTTGTGTTTGATCTGGAATGGGCTCCTTTCGATCACGGGGCCCTGGGCACTAGCCCAAAGTGCCCACTGGGAAAGACGGATCTGGGTGAGCTGGAGTAATATACTGAGCTTTCTTTTAAATAATCATGATCCTATATTTAAGTCGTCTAAGGGCAGCCGATGAACTTGCAAGGAGATGATCGCGAGCGATGAAATGGTGGGCCTCGTCACCAGGGTGCTAGCAGTCCAAGGAGGCTATGCCATCCCTGAAATCAAAGCTGATCAAGCGTCTTCTGCGCCTGGACAGAATAGCAGGAGACTGGTGGCTGGCACCATTACAGACACACCACTTAAATTGCAAAGATGACTTATTCAGTCGTTCATTCCATCCATCCATTCCAATCCATCTTCTACAGTGTATCTATCTAAATAAATGTCGTTTTGAAATATAAATTCTGACACTGCTCACTGAACTAACACTTTCACACCCTAGGTATTACTAACAGTCCCCTATTCAGAGCATGCATGGAGGGCGAGATTTGCTCCTGGAGTGTACAGAGGAGGTCGATGGCGCAGGTGGTTAGTGCGTTCGGCTGCGATCGTTGTAGTTGAGCAACTTTCGCAGTGGTCGGTCATTGGATGGGTGACCAAAAATTTCTATCTCGAGTTCCTCCGTACTTCGAAAGGCACGTTAAGCCGTTGGTCCCGGCTGCATCTGCAGTCGTTGGCACCCGCCAATCCGCACTAGGCCCGCGTGGTTGGTCGTGGCCCAATCTCCCTATTCCATCCATAGGGAAGGCCTGTGCCCCAGCAGTTGGGACATTAAGAGGCTGATGATGATGATGTGTACAGGCATCACCCAGAACCGCAGTAAGAGTCTCGGTACACCGGGATCCCTCGCAGATGCCTTGAGAAAACTGGGAAGATTGTTCTGCTTCTGGAGGGAGATTGGCTGGCTGGAGTAATCGGCCGCCATGGTTTTAGGTAATCATGATGCTATATTTAAACCACTGAGCTCACGGTATTAAACCGGCTGGGTGGGATACGCTTGTTTGCCATCCTTTAGACATAAAAAAGTGGTCTGAAGTAGTAGGTACATTAATATATCAGTTATGAAGCTCACGGTATGAGGTTGTTGAGCCGCAGCGCCGCCACCCTGGCCTCCGTGATCTGGTTGCCGGTGAAGGTGTCGTACCACTCCCCCGCCGCGCGCCACGCGCACGCAGCCACCACGCAACACCAAACGACGATACGAGCCATTGAGTGACCACTGAAATATACAACATTGCTTCTTACATGATACATAAAAGAAAAGTTAAATCACAAGCTCTCGATCCACTGAATGATTTATTCAGTCATTTATTTCATTCATCCATTCCAATCTATCTTCTACAGTGTATCTATCTAAATAAATGTAGCTTTGAAATATAAATTCTCTTCTTTTTTAATATTACTATATACACACATCAAAAGTGTCTAGGGATCAAGCATTTTTATGCGGATTTCTTGAGATTGAGATGTGGCTTTGTAATAAATTTATGATTTTATAAATTTATATGGATCCTTTTTGGTGCATTTCATAATTTGAATCAGGAACTGTGAATCAAATTCGAGTAAAAGATGAAAATCAGCTGTCAATATTTTCCCTATAAAAACATACAACGCATTGAAGACATTATTAGTGCTACTGTTTCCCTACTACTGATTAAAACCAACGTTATTATGGAGCGGCGACGTCATTTAAGCAGGGAAGAAATGCTCAGAGCCGTGGGAATGATAGAAGCTGGTTCCCGGCAACGTACTGTGGCTTTAGCTCTGAATACAAGTCAGAGTGTTATCAGTCGACTTTGGACACGATACCGAAGCACTGGTACCGTGGCTGAGCGCCATGGAGGACGGTATCGCTGCACCACACGGAGACAAGACCGATACATTCAAATCTTAACTCGAAGAGCTCCAACAATAACCGCCATGATGTTAGCCGTGAGGCTTCATCACTCTTCAGGGAACTTAATTAGCGACCAAACAGTCAGAAACCGCTTGCATGAAGTGAACCTTCATTCCCGAAGACCGCTACGGGTACCACCTATAGCAATGCACAATCGTAGGATTCGATATCAATGGGCTCTTGAACACAGAAATTGGGCAGAAGAACAATGGCGTTTCGTGTGCTTTTCTGATGAGTCTCGTTTTGGTATGAGACCGGATACAAGACGTATACGACACTGGAGAACCCCTGGACGCCAACAGCGATTAAAATCCTGCCAGGAAGTCCATCCTTATAGTGGTGGAACCATCATGGTATGGGCGGGTATTTGGATCGGCGGAAGAACTGAGTTGATTTGGATCAGAGGCAACCTCAACGCTCAAATTTATGCTGAGACGATTGTATCAGACGTCATCGTTCCTCTACAAGTGCAAATCGGTCCCTTATTTCAGTTAATGCATGATAATGCACGACCGCACACCGCAAGAGTTGTAAGACAGACTCTCGCCGCAGCTAACATCAATGTCCTGCCCTGGCCTGCTCAGTCGCCAGACTTGAACCCGATTGAGCATGCATGGGATATGCTACAGAGAAGAGCTCTGCCGAATATGGAGGGTATCCAGTCGCAAGAAGACCTTTTTTTGTTGTTGCAACGAACATGGGCGGCCATTCCACAGCGTGATTTGGATGAACTCATTTTGAGTATGCCAAACCGATGTTCTTGTGTTGTTAGTGTTCGCGGTAGAAATACGGATTATTAATTGTTTAAGTTACCCAATAAAATTTTAGAGAAAACTGTTATTTCAGTCTTTTTTTCGAACTTTTGTGTTAGTGGTTCAAATGTCAAAAATCCCTTTATTAGGAAAATGGCAAATTTCTTTATTAATGCAAAGGTGACTTGGTTTATCGTTACTGTGACAAACGAAAACACTTTATTTGATGAATCCTTAAAGAAAATTTTAATTAATATCAATCAGGAGAAAAGTTATTGCAAAAATATATGTTGATCCCTAGACACTTTTGATGTGTGTATATTAACTTGCCTTTTTAAAACCAACATAAGTTGTGTTTGATGAAAGAAAATCATGTGACACCCATAATTTTTTATTGGATTTTCAAACACGAGGCGAAGTATTAAAAGACTTTTTACTTAACGCAAAGCAAAAATTTAAAGCTGTTATACTGAGCACAGCAAAGACTTTTCTGTAATACAATGCGAAGTAAAGGGTTTTCTGTTAAACAAGGCTTCACCTTGTTTGGTAGGTAGACATTTCTTTAGTGTAAGACACAGGAAAAGAGTGCTTTTATACAATACTCTCAACTCATCCATCCATCCATCCATCAGCCTTTTTCCGTCCACTGCTGGACATAGGCCTCCCCCATAGAACGCCACAATGCGCGGTCCTGCGCTATCCGCATCCAGCGGCTACCAGCACATTTGACGATGTCGTCAGTCCACCGTGTTGGGGGCCGCCCCACGCTGCGTCGTCCGGTACGTGGTCGCCACTCGAGGACCTTTCTTACCCAACGGTTGTCAGGTCCTCGAGCGATGTGGCCTGCCCATTGCCACTTCAGCGTGCTAACTCTTCGGGCTATGTCGTACACACCGGTCCTTCTACGGATCTCCGTATTCCGGATCTTATCACGTAGGGAAACACCGAGCATAGCCCTCTCCATAGCACGCTGCGCGACTTTGAGTTTTGTCATGAGGCCGACATTCAGAGACCACGTCTCAGTCCCATAAGTTATCACTGGTAACACACACTGGTCATAGACCTTTCTTTTCAGGCACTGGGGAATTTTGGCCGTGAGGATATGCCTAAGCTTCCCGAACGCTGCCCATCCGAGTTGGATTCGTCGGTTGACCTCTTTCTCGAAGTTGGATTTGCCCAACTGGACTGTTTGTCCTAGGTAGACGTAATGATCGACAACTTCGAGAATCGCATTCCCAACAGATACTGGTGCTGGAGTGACATGGACATTGAACATGACCTTGGTTTTATCCATGTTCATCCTTAAACCAACCCGTTGGGAAACTCTGCTGAGGTCATTGAGCATTGTGCCAAGGTCCTCCAGGGATTCTGCCATAACCACGATATCGTCTGCAAATCGAAGGTGAGTGATGTATTCGCCGTTGATGTTGATGCCGAGTTCGGTCCAATCCAGAAGCTTGAAGACGTCTTCCAATGCAGCGGTGAACAGTTTCGGGGAAATTACGTCACCCTGTCTGACACCCTTCTGCAATGGAATCGGCCTCGTACTTCTCTCCTGGATTCGGACTGACATAGTGGCGTTTCTATACAAACACTTCAACACTTCGATATATCGATAGTCAATTTGGCACCGCTGGAGGGACTGCAGCACCGCCCAAGTCTCGACCGAATCGAAGGCCTTCTCATAGTCCACATACGCTAGACACAGAGGCCGATTATACTCCTCGGTCTTCTGTATGATCTGGCGCAGCGTATGTATGTGGTCCATGGTACTAAAGCCCTTTCGGAAACCGGCTTGTTCGGGAGGCTGGAAGTCGTCGAACCTGCGCGAAAGTCGATTTGTAATGACTCTCGAAAACAACTTATAGACGTGGCTCAAGAGCGAGATAGGTCGATAGTTCTTCAAGCGGGTTTTATCGCCTTTCTTGAAGAACAATACCACCACGCTCCTGGTCCACGCCTCTGGAACAATGCCCCCGAGGATGACAGAGTCGAATAGCTTCTGAAGGGCCAAGAGGACCGGCTTACCGCCCGCCTTCAGAAGCTCCGTAGTGATTCCGTCATCGCCCGGTGCTTTACTGTTTTTAAGCTGCTTGAGAGCCATTCTGATCTCGTACAGGCTGACATCCGGGATGTCCTCGGTATAGTGTCGGGTTAGCTTGGATCGTGGATCTTGGACCAAGCCGACAACAGGAGTTTGGGATGTTTTATACAACTGTCCATAGAACAGCTCGACCTCGCTCAAGATCTCATCTTTGGAAGAAATGACAGTGCCGTTGTCGGTCTTCAGTCTGGTCAACTGAGTCTGCCCAGCAGACAGATCTTTTGCGAACACTTTGGAGCCTTGGTTCCGCTCTATCGCCTCTTTAATACGCTTGGTATTGTAGAGTCGAATATCGCGTCGCACAGACTTCGAGATCTGTCTATTTAGCTGCCTCATCTTAGACCAGGAGGCTGGAGACTGCACCGTCATTTCCCTCCTCCACTCCATGAGCTCAAGAGTGTGGTCAGAGAGTTTTCCGGTTCTAGGAGCACGGCGGGTCCTGAAAAATTTTGACCCAACCGTGTGTACAGTTTCCACAAACTTGTTGCTCATATCGTTCGCCGTTTCGCACTCGTCTAGGCATTGGAAGCGATTTTGGAGTTCGAGTCGAAAGCTCTCGGGATTTTCGTACTCGGCAGGTGTGGGACGTAGAGTAGACTTCATCAGTCGGGACCGCTCGGCTTTGACACGAATATTCAATGTGCCTCGTAACATTCGGTGATCGCTCCCGGTTTTCACCCTGTTGATCACTGAGACATCATTGAATATTTGCCGTTTGTCTGACAAGATAAAGTCTATCTCGTTCCGTGTCGAACCATTAGGGCTTATCCAGGTCCATTTCCTTTGTTGCGACTTTTTGAAGAAGGAATTCATCATATAGAGATTTTCTCTCTCCAAAAAATCAGCCAACTTCTGCCCTCTCTGGTTTCTCTGGCCGAATCCGAATTGCCCTACTCTCAACTCACCGCTTTTCCTTTTTCCTAGTTTCGCGTTAAAGTCTCCCATAACCACAGTGAAGTGAGTTTTGAATAAGCGGATGGCTTTCGAGATATCCTCGTAGAGAGTCTCCACCTCATCGTCGGGGTGCGTCGAGGTCGGCGCGTAGACCTGGATGACCTTCAGCGAATACCGTTTGGTTATTCTGAGTATCAGGCACGCTACCCGACTCGACACACTCTCAATCCTCTCCACGTTGGCTGCGAGAGACTTACGAACGATAAACCCGACACCGCCCTGCGACAAGTCGTCGCCTTCCCGGTGATAGAGCAAGTTTCCAGACCGGAGGGTTATCGTGTCCTCCCCCTGTCTTCGGACTTCTGACAACCCTACAATGTCCCACCGAATCTTGCTCAATTCCTCTTCCAGCTCGGCAATCCTCTCGTCAGTCCTGAGCGTGCGAATGTTGTGTGTTACCAGGGCCAGAGTCTGTTTTATTTGGTGGCCGGATCTCGACCGGAGATTCTTCGCACCCCGTACCCCGCCGTTACCAGGCCCGCCACCGTGAGCCGGAATAGCGGGGGGGGGGTCGCCGTGACTCGGGGCCGTTGTGTTTATGCCTTTTTTCATTTGGGGGGTTATTGCCATAATCACCACGC